CCGAGGATGTGCTAATAACAGCCTACAGAGCTTCAACAGTTTTGTCTGCTGACTGAAATAGGCAAGTCTTCAAAACGTCAAGTTTACAGCTCACATAAAGAGCGACGCCCCCTCCCTGTCGGCCAGCAGAGCGATCGCATCTAAATAGTGCGTAGCCCGATAGATGTACTTCACCATCCGTGATGTCCTGAGACAGCCACGTTTCAGTGAATGCGAGTATATCGGGATGAGACCCATCTACAAGCAGACCTAACTCGTACACCTTATTCCTTAGGCTGCGCACATTACTTAGCACTATCTGAAGTTTTTCGTTAGATCCAGACCTGGGTCGTGCGCTACCAGTACTGGCACTGGTAGGGCGGAAAAGGACCGCCGGCTGACCACCCGAAAACCCACTAACCGGAGACCTTGTTCACCGGCCGCTCGCCTGCTTTTGAGGTCCTTGATGGCCTCCCTTAGCTTCAGCCTATCGGCTAGCGGAAGGTCCGGCTGAACGCTAATATTTGTACCTTTCAGCTTAAACGCAAACCGCATGAGAGCATTGCGTTCCTCCGGGGTAGCATTGCGTTCCTCCGGGGTAAGAGACAACAATTTGCACGATGGACACCAGTACACACTGCATACCGATACTTATCCATCATGTACTGGAATTCAGAACTCTATTACGAAGCATGATTACAACTAAGGTTTGTACATTTTGCATGTACCAGCTAAGCACAACTGCCTAATAGCAATGTCATGAAGTTGAGGTTAATTCTATCCAGTCAGAAATCCAAAACTGGATTAATTCCTTCGAGGTCAAATGTTTGCTTTAATATTTGGTCATGGAAGTTGGTGTTAAATTGAAGGTATCAGTTTAGATGAATCATTCCGAACAGTGGCATGGCTAATTTGATGTTTTCATTGGAACGTAACCAATAACATACCCATGGTGTACCCGATAATGTGATGCGGAGTTAGCGATCGTTTTCATGTTATTCTTTGATATTGATTACTTTTTGGCGGATATTCCATTGTTGGAATCAGTGGAACGTTTTTCAAACTGCGCACTTACTGCCTTGGGAATATTTCTCTTGGGAACCCTTCTTACTGTTACTTAAATGCACTCTAACCTGCAGATCAAATTTTAAGGGGAGATATATCTCGTGATGGATAAACTACGCTTAAGTTCACCATTGGATCTTATTCCAGTTGATGTTCTTGCATCGACATTTGGCATAGCTCATAAAGGATGCCCATTGATGGAGTCGAGATGAACGTGTTATGTGGACGGTACCTTCGTAGTTTGCATCTCGTAAGCTCAGCTGTGAAGCGGCTGAAATGCGCATCTGAATCTATAATTCCCTGGTGAGCAACATCGGACAAATCATAACAGTTCTGCACGTTCATCCTATCAGGCGCACCGACGGATCGCGTAGCTCAGAAGCGTCCGGACAACAAGCTTGGACTGAGCAGAACACAAATTGCTATAGGGAAGTACCACTACAGTAAAAACGGAAACTAATCCGCACTCAGGCCTTTCAGGCGCGCAAAATTTACAGGCCGGACACCATCACTAAAAATTACTAACACCATAAAAGCAGGCGTGTCCGTATAAATTCAGACTCATACATTTGAAAGAAAGCAAGATAAATCCCCGAGGATGAGTGTAACCAAGAAAGAACTTACAGTGCATTTCCTTTTAGAGGTAACAGTTTGGCTGATGTGTTGTCCAAACACCCAAAAGAAGCTGTTGGAAATACCTATTTTGCGGCTCTACTGCGCAGAGTATATTCAACAAGCCATTAAGCGCAGTCTTTGAAAAAGTTTGACTGTCTCCGTTCACTCGAATGATTCTCTTTTATCCTTACTGTTGCTGTAGTGGTGCACAATAGCTGAGTACTACTTGAGGGCGCTTACCGCATAACTTTCGCCAACTCACTCCGAAGTGGCTTTTCAGTGGTAAAGCAAATTATTATAGTAGCTAACTCGTGTTTTACATCTTTGTGCGTATTCACGCAGGAACTGAAAACAATTTCGGGGTCATCTCTATTCCAATGCATTTCTCGCTCGGACTCCGGAAGCATCCCCAATTTTTGCAGAAGCTATCCTTTTTCGCCACCGCAAGACGGAGTTATGCCTACAAAAGCAACTTATAGTACCCAAGTATACTGTGGCCTTTGAATTCTGAAAAGGATTTGCCCGTCTACGTAATATGCATCCATAATTAACCGCGTGATTTATTGTTTCGTTTCATTTGGTATTAACCATTTTGATTATTATGTTGCCCAATCAAGTACATTTAGCATGTAAGCATCGGCATGTAAAGTTTGAGTATGAAGAGAGTTGCCGAAAAAGACACTTCACTCAATACCTGCCACTCTTTGTTTCATTTCATCCAACATCTTATGGCTTTCCATTGTTCGGAGTTTCATGTATTAATTTCGTAATACTTTTTGCAGTTGTAGTGCTCATCTGCTATCCTATTAGCGCGGAGATCCATCACATTGTGGTGAATGAGATTTTGTTATCTTACTCTACCATACTGTGTCCAGTACGCACACAAATTAACCCTATTTTAAGAATAGGCAAACTGCCGGTAGCAAATACTTTGCTCATTGTAATGATGTAGTTTAAAAGCATCGCTTCGTACATTTAACGCGTTGAGCATTTGACTACTTCCCTACCCACCTTAGGCTTGTTAATAAGTACCTTATTTCTGTCAGTTTCTACCCTTCGCAGCTCGTAGGGTAAGTAGCATTTCCAACAGTCTAGCTCGAGGAACTTCAGGCAAGTGCACAAATGATTTTGCCAATTAAATTCATGTTAATCTGTGCTATCAACACTATGTTAAGTCTTAAAGATGATTTAGCCAATTAATGTTTCTCAAACCGACTTCTCCACTGCAAGCGTTTAGTAGGCATAACAGAGGTGGTTGATTAATAGATTTCTGGGCTAATAATGACCTACAGTATCACCGCATTTAATACTCAGCGTACCTCATGCATAAAATAGGAAATCCCACGTCGTCACCCTTCGAGTATGTCCTCTGGATACCTCTCAGTGATCGCATGGTAATTCCTAACTAAACATCTTTGGATCTAACCCTGCGTGAACCAGTAACCATATTAGAAGTTGGCGCAAAACATTTATTCTGTTTAGGGCTTCTTCTGGAGTCACTCCAGGACTTTTCTAATAACTTCAACACATCAGTGTCTGGTTGTGAGTGTTTGTTATTTGGCATTACCGTGCAAGTCAGTGGATATTGCGTGACTCTTTATCATATCTGGTAACTTATTCACGACGGTCGTTTTCGTGCCCCTTAGCTCCCCATTCTCAACCACAAGCTGGCAACAGTCGTGTTGTGTATTTGTGCCCTGCAGGGTTCAGACGAATGGGTACATATAGTACACACTACTGATGGTTCCCAAATATACGAAACGGCCATGGGTGGTTGTCTGAGGGTGTGCGGGCTGTCTGACAGAGTCCATGTATGACGAATTTCCCCTAATACTAAATTTAGCGAACATCATGCAAGTGTCAGTTATAAAAGCGTTTTGGTCTTAGAATGAAACAGTATTCATGTTTGAAACTTTTAACGATTTTGACCATCGAGATCACCGCATGCTTCATCATTTGCTACTTGCCCAGGTTATTAAAAACAAACTCCCTAGGTAATGGAACAAATCGCTGCTTCAGTGTCAAATGAAAGGATTGGCGCGGGGCTCATTTCCTGAAACCATTGAGTCGGAATGCGGCTTGCCACAGGAAACTGGCATAGGGCCTGCTTTATCCAAGTATTCACAACCGACAGCACTATTAAAAACTTGTCGAATTTCTTTCTTCTGTGCTTTTACCGTATAGGGTAAGATCAATGTGTAGAACAAATTCAATGCAGCGAGACTTGGACCTTGTTTTGCATGATCAGAGACAAATCTAATTTAGTTTAATTCAGAGAAAAACCAAATATTTTGTTTACATTGTAAGCCGAAGAGCATATATAAGCTGGGAGATCGCGCACACTATACTTGCTCATGAGACACAAACTTGTGGCTTTGACACAAGATGCTTTTGAATGCTCGTGACATTCCGTGAGAGTATAATTTTAAATTGGCCCCCTACGTACGATGTAGCAAAAAACATGGCCTCACCATTGTAATGCTTGACGCAAATTGTAGACTCAAACAAAATGATGAATTTCGGCCTTAAATCTCTAATAGAAATATGAGCTGGCAGTATTTGGGGCCACACAAAAAGCTTAACTAGGTTTGCATGACCTGTGCTTCATATGTGACGGCAATCACAACGGAAATGTTTCGGATTTTGCAGAGCACATTACCTTCGTCCACAGAGCGACCTCATCACGATTGGAAAAAACGTCATTTATGTCGTTCTACCGCATGAAACATATTATTAAAATCATGCCAAGAGGTTATCAGCTGAATTTGGTCACCAAACACAGGCAGTTGATATATCGCCAAATCCTCACCTATATTTTGCCAGCGCTGAAAACTAAATCCTACTTGTGGTTCTACTGCGACCTACTTATCTAAATTTTACGTACGAATTTGCGTTAGGTGATGACACACGCGTTCTTCGGGTGATCACAGAACGGTATACATAACTGCCCGAGACAAGCGGAATAATATTTCTGGAAACGGGGTTGCTTGTTGGCAGATTCTTTTACTTAACCTTTCTAGTTAACCCGGACTACCTAGCGGAAGTTATTCGAGCCAAAGATTTGCACGTGCACTGTGCACTGTTCCAGCGCATTGCTCAAAACGTCACAGAAGCTTTGTTCTAACATGGACTTGTTATCACTAAAATACCCTAGCTGATTTGAATAACACTTTGTAATCATAAGTTTTTTAACGGCTTTTAGGGTTATAGAAAAAGTGAACCAAGTATGTCCGAAGTATTGGTGCATTTGGAACTACCCAAATTGGCTTAAGGAAAAACTCTGGAATTAATTGCCTCCTTCATAATTAAATTGGTTCAAAATTCACTTAATACGTTTACGTTTAAAAGGTAAGAATTGAGGCAAGTACAAGGTACACAAAAATCTTAGGACGTGTGCTCCTGTTGCACAAATTGTTGGTACAACAATGTGCTTTATACTCTGTCAGGTTGTACGGGCTTACACTCTCGGAGCATCGATCCGCGCAGGCCTTCATCACAGAAACCAGCTTATTCGCCCTGTAACCATACTCCGTCTGAAATAAAGAGTGAAAGGCGATAGGCGTATTTTGGCAGCATGCGCACAGATATTTTGAACTAGAAAATGTCTAAAAGCAAGCGCTAGGAAGGTGATTGTAGTATCATCAACACGGTTAGAAATAATTGCACGATCCATCTACTCCGACGCTGCGATCAATACTTTGCGAATATTGCCTCTAGGTACTCATGTAACCGTAGACTAAACTATGTGCGCTACCATTAAATTTAACATGTTGACCCATAATAGGAAAACCCAGAGTTATCATTTTTTAAATGGCCTCGATTTAAAGTATTAAAATCCCATTTTCCTATAACTGTAGGCCTTACTAATCCATACCAACGCAACTCAATTTTAAAGATGTGCGTAAAGTAGTATGCAAGTGCTACACAGAATATTTTGTAGTGGATTTCGGCATTCCTATATGGTGTAATAGACGATCCATTGTAGGTTGTTCCTTGCCCAAATTTCGCAACAAAATGAGTGTTCGGCAGAACAGGAAAAACTAGTGCTGATTATGACTGTAACTGCATTTGTGATTATTTTGGATATTTACGTGATGCATATGAGACGGCAAAACAAACAAATTCATTTAGATATTTGTGTTGGAATGTAGAAGGAAGCGTTCCGGACAGGGCAACCGTTAAAATCACATCCTTGACGCACATTCCACCGCCTTTATTACGCTTCCAAATACACATATTATTAAAAATTATTGGCGAACAGCTAATCCGCAACGACATTACGCTTTACTTGTTGGTACTCACGCCGAAGCCAAACAGCACTGTTAATTAAAAGATGGATGCATGCTATATACTGCTAATCGCTTACCAAGCATACTTCACAGTTATTAACGATTGGAGGCAGAGGGGCACCACGTTCCATGGGGCACGGATCACATTCGAAACACGCCAGCGCATGTACTGCAAGAAATCAGAATAGGCGTGATTAAATGTAACGGCTGCATCGAAAATATATTACTAGCGTGTATACAAGTTCCTTTTTCAAATCTGCATGTGAACATTTCAATATGCCTGATATTACTTACATACCTTTTATCATGAACTCGATGAATGCGATAGCAAGTACATTCGCATGCATTTTAAAGTGGGATATCAATAGATCTTCTACTCTTCCTCCACTATTGCTATACTTATAATTACACCCACAGTCTTGAGTCAGTTTCGCTGAACTTGGTTGCACCCATTCATATCAGCTGATTTGTTTGTCAGAAGTCGAACTCTTTCGTTTCGTACGACCAGTCATGTGAAATGGCTCAAACTCGTGATGATCGAACAAACCGACGCACCACCGTTCACATGGGAACTCACTTGATCGGTTTGATCGGTCACGCAACCATGCTTAAATCTGACGATTTCTCTCTGGTGAGATCCTAGAACTTGCGTGTATGGACGAAAGCATTTTCAAACGCATGTACGCGGACAGTAAGTGCGATAAAACATGAAACAAATTAGTATATTTAATTGAGATTACTCGCAGCCAGCGTCCAAATCAGAGAGTTGTCCATATGTCTGGAAAAGCACTAGACTGCAATTTCAGCCTGTTGGGCATCATCAGTAGTGTGCATCCATCGGATCCATCAAGATTCGAACCCATGAATGCCAACGGCTTAAACCGCAAGTTAGCAGCTCATGCCACTGGCATACGAGGGACAGCCTCGGAACGTCATGATTTACAACTAATTGCGATATAACGCGTTTTATCCCCCACTACCTGGCTGTGAAGTACCTCAATTACTTGCATCCAAATCCCCTACATATTAACACATCAAAATATATCCGCTCTAACAGTTTCTAAAACCTGTGTTGTATATAGCTGCTGTTAGCGGACGTTGTGTCTTTCGCGGTTAACCCTATTCTCTGCAATGTTCTTAACTTGCATAGCAGTGGAGAAGAAGACTCAACGTCGCGGTTAGCTCGTAACTCATGACGGTTTAAGCCGCTGGTAGTCATGGGTTCGAATCCTAATGGATCCGATGGATGCGCACTACTGATGATACCCAACAAACTGAAACGGCAGTCTAGTGCTTTTCCGGGCGTGTGGACGACTGCCTGATTTGGATACTAGCTGCAAAGTACTTCAATTAATTACATCAAACTCCCCTCCCCATTAACACATTAAATTATTATATAATGCAGTCAGTTGCGAGTGTTTGCGTTCTTTCTTCCCCACTAGGTAAGGTTGCTCACTAACCGCAAAAACAAAATGTGCATACTTGCGAATTTAGAACACTGAAGCACGACCATTTTCCGAATTATTAAGTGGGTACCAACGAGACTAGAACTAAAACGAGGCCATTATGATATCAAAAACCTGAAATTGTTACTCGAGACTGACATAACGTCAGTTATAACGCCAATGACACCGAGTTATCTTCCTGCCAAATACTGCGTACATATCAAAACTGTTGATTCAATATCACTTATTAGAAGGTAGGATAGATGTATTAACCAGCGTTGTGATAAGTGGAGAAATACCGCCATGTTTGCGAAGTTGACCTGAGAGGCTGCCGTGTAAAGAGTATAAAATCTTAATGACGGTGCCATGGAAATGACTGCATATGTGGGACCGCTATACTATTTACACAATTAAACATTTACAAAATTTTACTTCACTGAGGCACCTGTTTAAGCATACATTCATTGGATATTTTAGCATAATGAATATGTCTCTAGACAAGGATTACACCATATCGTGCTTAAATTTTGTTTCGCTTCTGACGTTTTCTAGTCCACAGTGAAATGGATGTCTTGATAATGACGCGAAACGGTCTCAAAACCAAGCTTTTATGATTATTACCGGAGCTTTGTCACATTTGTGACTTAGCCTCCAGATTTCGCTACCCAACCTAGTTACTTCTTTACTTACATTGGTTAGGTTGCGACACTATACAGTTTAACGGTAATTTTATAACCCGGAGTGTCATATGTAGGAATTTTATCACACTGAATTCGGAAAGTAGCGCAAGCTGGCGGCTACTATAGGTTTAATAATAATAGCGGTACATACATATATATAGTCATCAATACGCACGCCATTGTTAGCTAAGAGCATCTCAGCTAATGTGACTCGTTAAGTCACCACTTTCAAACCCGCAATAGATCAGTATGGAATTATGTAAGTCTTATTCCTTTTACATCGTTAACATACCTTAACAATTTATATACTCCCACCTTCATCATATGCGATTTACTAATTACGGTAATTTTATTCCCTTGATGGTAGCTGACGACAGATTTGCTGAAACATTATCCCCGAATCTTCAACTCCATCTCAAAGAGATGTAGGTCCCAACAATACAGAAGCGTTGAATAGTCAGCACCATTTAAAAGGAAGGCTGTCATGCAGTGCCGGTAAAGTACCGCCCGATTATCTTCTTCCTGTCGTTGCAGATGCATTTATTGTTATTCAGAAAAGATCTCAGATAATCGTGCAATTGCAACATGCATTCAACCAAAACTGTTCATGTACCACGAACATTTGGTTGGCCTGTGCTAACTGAACGGAATCTGTTGATGCTGGAGAAATGGAGGACGCCGCTTGAGTTCATTTCTCAAAAGCATTTGATCGCCCTGATTACAGAATTCTTTTGCACAAGCTTCGGATCTACCGAATCGGCGACCACCTAATTAGCTGGATCCAGTCTTTCGTACTCCAATGACACTTGAATGTGTGGGGTCCTAGCAACCTGTAAACCCATTGGTGGTTAACTCTGGCATCCCTCAACGCTCGGTACCTAAGAGTATTTTCATTGGAACCTGCTGAACCACAGTAAAGGCATTCGGGTGGTTAAAGCAGTGACCCGTTTCCAACAAATGGAACAAAATACCGCTTGTGCGAACCCCGGAGCTCACGTTCCTTAATGCTCGTAACAATTTACCTGCCATTCAACAAATATATGTTGCATCACAAGAGCATAGAAATCGACGGGTAATGTATGAAGTGGTCAGCTTCGGCAAGCTGCTTTTGTTGCACATAGGAGTTAGCTGGTTCATGGAAAAGATACATTACGATTCAGTAGCCGGAATAGTGTTAATTATCGAATGCGTCAATATTCTTGTTACAATCGCAGCAACAGTATCAGCAATAAAACGAAGGCGGATGAATATGACCTTTTCCGTCTAATTCCTTAACGGTCAGTGTTACTTTGGGTTGTATGTTGCGTTTAATATAATATTTTCTGATACCTATTTTGGCACAACGTGTTTTACTTGGATTTCATTTTATCCTCCAGTGCGTCCTCTGAGCATATTTTTCACGCTCTTGTGGTTGCGCGTGTATTTAAGGGGTGTAAAACCACTGAAATCTCTATATTAAACGGTCCACGTCTTCTTCCTTTTGGTCATTCATAATATGAAACCATCAGTTTGCCAATTAAGATGTACATCCAGAAATAAAAGTTGAGCTTTTTTCAATTTCTTAGGTGAACTCCTTCGCCGAATGCGCAACATTAAACTCCAACAAATATATCCTTTACACATATCTTTAAGGGGCACGCAAAAGAAGTCATCTATATAGCAATAATAATGGTCGAAACGACGTATAATTAGACCCCGCGTTTCGGTTTTAAATTCGGTAAGAAAGATTTCTGCTGGTAATACATGTCTTCGATAAGAAGCTGAATTTTGTAAGTGCAGCTCAGAAGAAATTTCTTCGGGTTAGGTAAATGGATACTTAATTGAAGGCTGTTCTCGTGCAATAGTTGCATATATGTTTACTGTTTCTAACTGCGGTAGAGTTGTATTTAAGGAGGCAAAGTTTAGTGAGCAATTCAATTCCTTTTCAGTTTCCCTCTTTTTGTGAACGCAACGAAGTTGAACCTATCCTGAACACTAGGTTAGGCAGTTCCTTTTCTTATTGACATTAACGTTTTAACCAACAGTTGGGTTGTAGAGTGCCATGCCATGGCCAATGTTGGGTTTATAGGTACAATTGTTTTGTTAACTCTAAGCAGTTCGTCTATTCTCTGGGTGGATGTTCCGACTGACCACAGACTCACAAATAGACTACCGGTCGTAAAACCGCGTGTGAATAGAATTTCCAGGCACCTCGGCAGGTTTTCTTTCATATTGTCTGTTTGATCCTTCTCATCCGCGTTTATTGATTGGCGTGTAGCCCCTGACACAGCGGTCAGAACGATCTTTTCGGTTTCTAAAGCAGCCGTCAAATTGCCGGGATTCCGACTTGCCAGCTCTGTTGTGGAATCTATTGATTTTAAACATTCTGTCATTCCGGTTACTGGATTGTGTCCGAAGTAGAGTGAAAGCTTGTTGCTGTTTTCAGTAACTGCAATTTAACACTGTTTCCGGCCATTGGTACACTCATCTAGCAGAGATTAACTGAGCTTGGATTAGAATTCGACACAGTGTTTAGCCTCCAGCTCCATTATGATTATGCTACAGAGCTACGCGAGGAGCATTGAATATAATGGTTATAATTTGTTTTACTGGATTTGGGTCGCCCACTGTTTGTCGTTCGCTGCAATAAGCAATCTTAATTTTGGCCTTGGTTGAATCAGAAAATAGCCTTTCTCATTCCAAGCATTGGGTCCGCGTCCAAATAGAAAAGATTTTGTGTTGCTCGCCCCATGACGGCACTGTACCAAGTTTGCTTCTTTATGGACTTATGGCGTTGCATTGTCCTGAGCTAAAGTAAGACACAGTAGATATATTTTTGACGCTGGCACTATAATCGCTTTGTTTCGATATTCCTGGTTCATCAGCTGACACTACTGAAGTTAAGATTTTGTGTTGTATTGGAACTTGGGTACGTGCCCTGCTTTTTAGCACGCAATTTCTATTGCGGTTTCGATTTCGGTTGAAGTTTACAGCAGCCTGTGCCATTCCAATCATGGGAAACGTATCGGAAACCACGGTGTTCATTATTGCCATCTCATACTAATGCACTCCACAAAGCGCGCTGCGCACAGATTTCGCTCTCTTCGTTATTGTGGGATTTGGTTTCTTTATGTTCCAAGAGCCCACTCAGCTTACGTTTATTCGGAGTTGGTTAAACGACTGTACAAATGAGTCAAATTACACGGAATTATTTCCCACTGATTATGGTTCCAAGATTTCTAA